TAAGCGAAGTCCATTGGCAGACAACGTGGGGTAATCCCACAGTGGTACAAAACATAAGCGCAGCATGAAGAAGCAGACAGAGACATGTTGAAAATTATTTATTTAAGTATTTTTAAATTTATTTAATTATTTTTTTCCACCAGTTTAATTTCCCATAGGAAAAAAAATTACAAAAAAGGAAGTGACAATCTTAAGCGGCCAGGTTTTCGATCAACAGTTATCAGAGAAGATCACTGATTAATATAAAAGACAAAACATTAAAACAAAGTTACAAACAGAATGAGGTATCTGTGTATATTTCTGAGATGAGATATTGTAATTATTTACATTATTTACAATGTTCGGACTGTTTTCCTCTGTTGTTCTAATTCCACATACCATGCCTCTTCCGTATATCTCAGTTTAATTTCCATTTAACTCTCCAAGTTTTTGTTCACCTCTGCTGAACTTGGACTCACAAATCTTTGGATCAAGTCACTGGATTACTTCAATCAGCGTTTGAAGAAGGCCGGAGGGTATAACGGCCGAAACGTCGTGAATATGGCAACACAGGTGAGGACAACAGCCCGAACATTGTAAATAATGTAAATAAAAATGAGGTTATATGTTGATGATTTATTTCCCATCCTACAACTCGTTTCACGCACTCACAAACCTAACACTACTTGCATCGCAAATTTTCAGTCGAACTCCATTCTTTAGTGCCACCACCTCAGGCCTTTACACCCGGGACCTGCATTCCACATTATCTACGTTTTCGTTTGGGAAGAAGAGTGTTCCACTCTGAAAGCTTCTTCTAAAAACAACTACTTTGACGGACAGACACCTACGTGGATGCTTTCCACAACACTACAATCTTAACGTCTTCAAGTCTGGGGTCAGTAGTTATCTGTCCGCCATGTCTTCGTAATTTTCACTTCATATTTCTACATACGTTCATATCGCGCTCCTCAGGCCTTTTACTCGGTGTACCTTAGTGAAATAAATCTCGTCGTAAAAATACCCTAACTGAAGAAGAAAGTTAGATAGGAAGCCGAATTAAGTAATACCATTTAGGGAATAACGAAGAGGTTGTAAATCTTTTTCTTGAAAAATCGAAAGTTGAATTATTATCCTGGTTAAAAAAATATACATCGAACTTACTACACCGACGTAATAGTCAAACTGTCATTTAGAAAGAAAATAAGTAACTACCGACACCGAGGTTCGAACGTGACACTCTGGACTTAAGAATATGTTTTCTGCCAGGTGTATAAATAGCAGTGTCAGGCTACTGACTGCAGTGATTATTGAGTGATTACTGAGTGGAAAGCTCCAGTCGAATTAGTGTGAATTATTGTGCATCGATGATTTGGAGTTTTGATTTAGGATTTACCGGACGTTAAGCCGAGCCGCGCTACTAAGAAGTTATTCACTGAAATGGTTAATAAACTTTGGTTGACTATTACTTTGTTCTTGGTAAGTATTTATTTGCGGTTGTAATTAAATATTGTTTTATTTTAACATGGAAGTCTTGAGTTATACTTAATTATTAACGGCCACGTATATCACAAAACAAACAGAGGAGCCTTGCTAAACATTAGTTTACGCCAAAAGGGCGTTAAACTAAACTAACATTTCGGTTAACTAATAGTATTACGTCTAATGATTATTTTCGTTTAGAACAGTGAGCAATGGTTTGGGGGCTAGAAAATTCTGACATTAAAATCTTTGGAAGTGACATTTCCGGTTATAGGATATTCAGACATTGGACTAGGGTGGGGATAGTGAAAAGAGATCCTCACAAGGCAGCTGGTAATTGCCATAAACAGTTGGAGTGGAAGTTATTTCTCGGTATATCAAGGTTAAGAAGAACTGTATGAAATTAGCGTGCAATGATGGAAGATGAAATTCTATATTAAAACCAGTAATAACATTACAGACAACGAACGACCTACTTTTGCATTAGCGTTCGATAATTGAAACATGCATTCTCTCGTATCTTAACATTTTAAATTTATTATGAGATTACTTTGGATTCTTTTAAAAAAAGTTACTGTGTTACCCAGATCCTGAAGGAACTCAGCACATCAAAGAAAGAAGAATAGGAAGGGAATCCTTTAATACGAGTTTATTTTGAGGAAGTACTAGTCCCATTGAGACCAACGGTCTGTAGAGAATTCTTTTAACGAAGGAAATTCACTGGAAGGATGCGATTCGAGCACTTCTTCGCTTATGAAGATTTTTAAAAAAAGCTTCTACGAAGATGGAATTATGAAATTGCTTGAAAAATAACAGAAAAGTATAACTCTCAATATCTGTGGAAATTTTAGCGCTCATTTTCTTAGTTGAGGAATGGAATACAGTATAACTACACCCCCCACCGGTGATTTTAGTTGGTGTGTGAATATTACGTCCACATCAGCTACTCACATTGCAACATCTTACCCGGTTTTACAAAAAAAAAAAAAAAAAAAATCCGACTGCATTATGACTGCGCGAAAACACATGCAACTTTTATCTGTGGTCGGCCAATGTTCACCGGGAAGATATTCATAAATGATATGTATATATAAAGGGTGTTTCATTAAGACGGATTATACATAAGAGTGTTTCATTAAGAAGCCAGCGGTAAATAAATTAGTGTTATTGGTGAAAATTTATTTATTTCTCTACTGAATCGTGTTCATGAATTCATGTGAAAAATAGTATCGCCCAAATGTCCGCCAAATCTGAAAGAAAAAGAAAATAATCATTAGACGCTTAAACTTAATTCACATTAAAATTGGCCCAAGTTATTGGAACATCCTTTAATAGCTTCCCTGTGCCCTTTCTGTAAATGCTTTCATGGTAATTGTTTTGATAAACTTTCCTCTATGTTACCTAGACTTTATGAATTTAAGCGCAGTACTAAATTGGTGACAACGTTTCATGCGTTTACAGTTGAAATGGCTAGATGCAACCGTAAGTTCTTTGCTAACAGTTTCTTCTCTCTAACTTCTTGTTTGTGGAACTCTCTTATGGCTTCTTGCTTTCTAGTCAACTTTGATTTTCCAAAATTTAAATGCAATGTCAAGCGTTACCTTTGTTCTCTCTCCTTAATATTGTTTTTTTCTCATGCTCTCTCACACTCCACAACCCTCTTGCGTCCTAGTGGCTTTATTGCCTTGCTTGTGGTGAAATGATTTAAAAAAATACAGAATTATGAGAATATAGGTAAGGAAAAAATCGGATAGAGTAAATGCAAAAAAGGGAAAAGATTAAGCTAATGGAGTATAAATTGTAGCGTTATTCTTGTTTCAGTTAATCTCTATACTTTATAAATCCCATGCTGGAAAGCGGCAAACAGATTTATCCGTAATCCCTCTGAGGTATAAAAATAAGTATAGTTGGAATTTCCGATATACCCAGAAAGAAAAACGGTTTTATAAAACAATATGATTAAAGAAAGAAAGTATATGCTAGTATTAAATGCCAAAGTCCAGATGTTTACAGCTGTGCCCAAAAGACAAAAAATGTGCTGTTTTGAGGAATAATTGCGTAAATCAGGTTTGTGGTAAAAAAAAGAAAATACGAGCAAAATTTGATCGTTCTTCGTGTGTGTAGAAAAGGTTAAACATATAAAAGGTTAAACATATAAAAGGTTAAACATATAAAAACGATCCTTTATCGTATTTGTAACAGGAATACTGTTTCCATCACCTCCACTAAAAGACACATTATCCCACTGATTAAGCGTCTCAAAGCCACTGATTATTCCATCACCGTTTTCATAGCTAGCAAATATATTGACGAACTACATTTTTGAGTTCCAGACATTATCAGCTATGACCCACAATGCCACGTACACTGGGACATGTTCCCATTAGTCTCCATTAGTAAGAAGTAAATTCCATTATATATGCATATATTTTACTAATTAAGATTATATATATGCATATATTTTACTAATTAAAATTATATATATGCATATATTTTAATAATTAAAATTATATATATGCATATATTTTACTAATTAAAATTATATATATGCATATATTTTGTTATTTAAACATTATTTTTAGTGGATATCCATATCATAGTATGCAATAAATTTGTGTATGTAATCCCGACAAAGTTATAAGTTATTGAGATTTGGAAAAACGTTCATGAAAGTTAAGAACACATATATGATGAAGCCATTAGAGGCGAAATGTATTATCGGATATTATTTTCGAAACATACTTTCATGAACGTTTTTCCAAATGTCAGTAACTTATATTTGAGTGGATTTATATATTTTCGTCTACCGGTCTGAATATTTGAGAAATATTATTAGATAAGAATATGCGCTTTCTGGCAGCATTTGAACCTGCTTTCCTCCATTGGCAGGGGAAAATATTGTTAGACCCAACGTGCTTTAGACCTCTCGGCCACGAGCTGTGTCGATAAACAAGCAAAGTTGAATAGTGCCATCAAACGAAACTTTTCCTTGACTCTCGAAATATACATATCTGTTCAGAGCAGAACATCTACTCAGATAGATAGAAAGATAATGAACATACTGAGATAGATAATGAACACATTGTGATATATAAATAATAAATAGACTATCTATCTATCTATCTATCTATCTATCTATCTATCTATCTATCTATCTATCTCAGTGTGTTCATTATCTATCTATCTATCTATCTATCTATCTATCTATCTATCTCAGTGTGTTCATTATCTATCTATCTCAGTGTGTTCATTATCTATCTATCTATCTATCTATCTATCTATCTCAATGTGTTCATTATCTATCTATCTATCTATCTATCTATCTATCTATCTATCTCAATGTGTTCATTATCTATCTCAGTCTGTTCATTTTCTATCTATCTATCTATCTATCTATCTATCTATCTATCTATCTATCTATCTATCTATCTCAGTGTGTTCATTACCTCAGTGTGTTCATTATCTCTGTGTGTTCCTTATCTATCTATCTATCTATCTATCTATCTATCTATCTATCTATCTATCCACAATCTTTTAGAGTTCTATATCTTTTACATAAAAAATCGCCTTCTAAATTTTTAATGATCATTTGTACATCTCTCCTGCTGTGCGAATAGTACTACTCGATATCACCACAAAAAATTCCGAGATTTTCTGTTACGGTCACTTTCACACAAATGCTATTCTGAAAGGTCTGAATCCATCTCTTCTCCCAAAGTTATGGGTTAAATAGCAGAGTAGAAAAGACTCTTTACTTCTATGTTGCAATCAGTGTAAGAGAAGGGAAACCCTGAATTTTAAGCCATAGAAAAATAAAAGCAACGAGAGTTCATTTTACTGTTTCCCAAGAATTTCCCAGATAATAAAGGAATCTGCAAAGAATCATAATCACCTACGTCCCGAAGGGACATGGCGTTTTAAAAAATGTACATTTGCTAGTCGCTTAACTTAACGCTATTCTGTTCTTTTATATGTTCCAACTTAAAACTTTCTTTCTTTCTCGCTACTATTCATTTAGATATCGTTTTTAATCCGAAGCAATACTGACTCCATCATTATCCAGTAAAATGCAAGCAAAATAACCTTTCCCGTGACAATAAATGAACATAATAGGAACCCCGCGATGTTGGCATATACAATTCAAACAAAAAAAAAAAAAAAAAAAAAGTCAAACATCACGCATTAAAGCCTGGGAAACTGAAAAAAATAAATCTTCTCGTTTTTCAAACTAATTACTTTTCTTTTATTAGGATTGTCACGAGGAGGGCGACATTTTGCTTGATATGTTTTCGAGTTTATTTTAATAGGAATACAGAAGAATGACGTAATTAAAAGCCACGTGATCAAGGTGAGATAGCACAAATTACGCAGCACTTATTTTTATTAACCGTGTTACTTAGAACGATTACTTCGCTACATATATATATTTAAAAAAAATGACAGTTGGTCATAATTGATAGATGGCTACAATTGACTCTGTGGATTATTTATGGCTAATTTGTTTAAATAGTGCACTGACTATTGTTTGCGTTCCGTGTGTGTTTCTGTCTAAGTATAGTCCGGCCATATGCAATATAACCGAATTTGATATCAAAGCTTATAAAATAAATGCATATTTCGAGATAAAATTATATTACATGTCAAACGGATATGAACATAAGAAAATAATAATAGTTTGTAATTTCGTTTAAAACGAAAAAAGCAGGGGTATTCTAATCGCCAAAATATATTCCCTGAAAATTAAATATAATTGTAATGGCAAAAGTACGCAGGAGTAAGCTTTAAGAAAACTTTACTTAACTGAGAATACAAGAATTGTGAACAGTTTCCTTTCATAGTCCCAGTAAAAAGAAATAGCTCTCTCAAAGAGGAGAGTAACAAAACAAGAGGAGACCACTCTTGATTATTCATAACAATAATATCAATAAAAATGGAACAGTAATCAAACGGCGATCTTAATAGCCAACCATAAAAGTTTTGGTTCCGAATTATATTCAGAGGAAACAGTTTTGCAATAAATCCGAAGAAAGACGTTGTCCTGAATAAATAATATTCCTGTAAATGTTAACGTCATTGTAAGTAAAATGATGCACTAAATAAGTAACCAAATAATAGTTTTAAGTTCTCTGAATATCGTTTTCTTTAAAAAAGCAAGACTCGAGAAGAATGCAAAAATATAATGTTTTAGGAATATCTTTGAATAAAAATGAAAACGTAATTGGTTGCTGACTGGATAAGCTGCATAATTACCGCCAGCGGTCGGTGTTCGATCCCGGATAAAAATCAAATATTTACAATTTGAATTATTTTTTAAAAATTTAATAGTGAATAAAATTAAAAGTAAATATATGTAAATGAAATAAATAATAATTTTTAAATTTATTAATCACTTTTTTATAGTGAAGTTCACCCTGTACAAGGCCCGGGAGCCACTCGAGATAGAGTATTACAAAGTAAGAGGAACAATTTATGTGGATATGTGGGGTAGATAACGGCTAACCGTATACTTGAATATGTTAAGATTGTAGTGATCGGGAAAACATCCCCTTGGGAATCGTTTCAACAGAGCAGTGGTTTATGGAAAGAAGCTGCTCAAGTGGAACTTACTTCGCACTAATGGATTACGAAGGGAATGAAGATTGTTTGCTAATATGCGCGTAGCATAGCGAATCTTAGCCGTGAAGGTTAGAATTGGTGGAACTAAGGAATGTAGTTCGTCTGAGCACTTTCCATGTATGTAGTGATAGAGCAGTGAGAGGCGTGCGACGTTGTAGGGTTGGAAAATAATTTGTCATCTACAAGGACGCGGAGATGCTTTTGGGATCTATCGAGATTGGAAAGTGAAGACTGGACAGCTCCTGCCCATATATGGCAGCAATACTCCATTTTTGTCTTGATCTGGCCCTTGGAAAAGTAGACGATAGCGGAGACGCTTTTGGGCCCTGTCGAGATTGTAAAGTGAAGATTGGGCAGCTCTTGCCCATATATGGCAGCAGTTCTCCATTTTGGGCCTGATCTGGCTTTTAGAAAGGCAGAGGATAGCATGTCAGGTATTTACTGGAGAAGTACAAGAATCCGACCGTTTTCCCTGTATCTTTAACGATTGATCGTACAAGTTCCACTTGAGATTATGTTTGAGTTTAAGGCTCAATTGACGCTCAAGAGCCTTCCCGAGGCAACATCCATTCTCCATGACTGGGTCCAGTTGTCGATGATGGAATGTAACTAGTTTGGTTTTTGAGGCATTGAATTTAACCTGCCAATTTTTCATTCACTGAGACGTTAGAGCTAGATCGGAGAAGAAGTCTGGTCATCTAGAGTTTTGGAGGTGCACCCATATACTGTTGTATCATTAGTATAGATCAGTGTTTCTTGACCGGTGGGCCCAGACTCACTAATGCGTGCTGAAAGGTAGCCAGGTGAGCCCCAAATTAACAAAAGAGTAATTTATGTATTATTTTTAGATTAAAAAAACAATTATCTTTAAAAAGCAAGATATATGTATCAATGTTCAATCCCTGGTATAAATATTTGAACGCATTTTGTCAAGGATGTGCGGGTAGCGTAACAGCTACTGGCACGATTTGAGTTAATATCCCGATTCGTTCACTTTCGCACTAATGCTCTCGAGAAAGGGACAAATACATCTCTTTTAACCCCAGCTATGGGCTAAATAGCAGGATGGACTGGGATCTGTAGCTTTTATTTTGTTATTTGGTATAGTTCTTTGTGATTTTATACAGAAATATAATATTAGTGCTGTAAAGTAAACTAATTTAAACCGGTCCCCCTACCGGACTTTTCTGATGAGGAGATGGATTAGATATTCAGAAGCATTTAAAACAGGAGGTTTCAAAATGCGCATGAGTCTTTTTGTAGGGCCAATGGTCATCTAGGACATTGTGGCAGACTGGGCTTTGTATGTCGCCAGTGTCGCATCTTTGGCGGATCTTCCTAGACTGAAGTCAACAGACAGAGTGGAGGATCCCTTCTACGGAATCATGAGCCACACGTCCCTGACCAAGGCGAACCTTCAGTTTGAAGAATATTAGCTGAAGATGACTGGCTTCTGCCAAGAAACGCTATCCATGAATGAATTCTTCTCCCGCTTTAAAAACAGAAAGAAAACTAGTCATGTAAGCAGCGATCCTATGACTACACCCGGTCTAATGATGATGGTTGGGACTCTGTTATTTTTAACGTTTTCTTTTCTTTTAAATTCCTTTACCGTTTTCCCATTTCGCCTGAACTTGCCATATCAACAATTTTAAATGAGTATAACAATCCACTTAAAGCTTTCTTCCGACTTTCAAAGGCACGTTTAACCTAATTCCTGTGCGGATGTAAAAACAAGAGCACAACTTGTGTCTTGGAGAATTTCTCTTTTTTGATGAAGATTACTTGACCATACTCATTCTATGATCTCTTGTAGTTCGTCATTGAATACGAGAAGTACCGGAAATATACGACCAATAACCAGCGGACAGTTAATTGCTGTAACAGAAACGAGTAGCTATTTTCCTTTCGTGTTCTAAACTTGCACTTACCTTCTTTGACCGTGACAGTTTGTGACCTAAGGCTGGGAAGATAACTATAGAACAATGTAATCATATACTCATGGACACCTTTTTTTTCTCCCTCTGTAATCACGACATGCCAGTTACAAGACCATGGTCAATATTACAAGAAATAAGACACAACACAGGAATAAACAATATCATGTCTCTATTATTAGTGTAAAAACAAACTATGCAGTTACGATTAGAATTTGGACGTAATTTTTTTCTTTTTTTTGCATTTTCTTATACGTAGAAAACGCAATAAGTCCACAGCCTAATGATTTAAAAATAAAACTTGCTTTGAATATTGCTACCACATTTGATCTGGTGCTCCTGCTATATATTTATAAAATACAAAGGATAATTTGCAATGTTATTGGTCCTGACTCGGCTTCAGTCACTTTTCCATCGCTGTAAGGTAGCCTCCCCGTGTCCTTTCTAAAAATACTTTCATGTTATTTGTTCTGATGAACTTTCCTCTGTGGTATCCAGACTTTATGAATTTAAGCGCAATACTAGATTAGCGGCAAGGTCCGATCATTTTAGATGATTGAAATGGCTAGATGCAACCGTAAGTTCTATGCTAACAGTTTCTTCTCGCTTGTGGAACTCTCTTCTGGTTTGTTTCTTCCCTGTCAACTACGATCTTGAAAAATTAAATGCAATGTCAACTGTCATCTTTTGTCCGCGCTGCTTCTTTCACTCTCAGTAAACCCTTTGCATTCTAATGGCTTTTATTGCCTTGGTTAGGGTGAAATGTTTAAAATCAACAGAAATAACTGCCAGTTAACCTCCAAAATGCGCTTAATAATCGCTTTATCCAAAGAAACCTAAAACAAAGTTACAATTGCAAATATTTACTCAACTCATATTTGTCTGACATTTAGTCCCAGGTGAAAAACATTCTCTACAAATTGATCTCATTTCTACGCTGAAAAAATTGTTTTCATTTTTTTCTCTTGATTTTTTAAAATATTTTT